GGCCGGCCGGGGTGAGGCCTTGGGCCGGCCCCCCGCAGGCCTCGGGAGGACCCTGTCCTGGAGGCTGTGAGGGGGGCGGCGGGACAACGATGACGGCTGGGACCTGCCCGGCGGCCCGAGGGGTTGTGTTGTGTTGCGTTGGGGAAGGTGTGCGTGGGGTGTTCACGAAATAACCGTCTTGGGTACGCGTCCAGGCGGAGGCAAGCCTTTAGTTACGGGCTGCTTCAGTTCCAAGAGGAACATCTTAATGTGAAATGAGGGGAACTTCATCGCCGAGAAGAGCCCTTTGTGGCCTAGGAGTTTAGTTCAGGTCCGTGAAAGCAACAGACATAAGCAGTTGTTCTTATCTTTCCACATTAGAAAGTGCCCTTGTGTCCTGCTGGTGGAGGGATGCTTGTGGGCGTGGGGGTTGCATAGTTGCATTTGCTAATCAGGGAGTGGGAAGAGGCAAAAATCGAGAGTATTCCCACAGTATATGTATTTTCTGAAATACATAGGCTATTTTGTCGTATTAATTGCTATGTGTGGGTTTGGGGTTTTTTTGAGCATTGTCATTTGACTTATTTTTGTGTGCATATGTAATGATGTGAAACCATGAACTTTTGCTTTGAATGTGACACTGTCTTCTTAGTGCACAAAATAATTTTGCTTTAATTTTTTATGTGTATATTTAAATGGGAGAAATCTTTTCTTGGATGTGATTATAAACTATATAGAATGTAGTTGTGTGGTATACAAAATGTAATTGCACAGTTTACATGTGCTACTGTTTTAGCACTCCCAAGTATTTTACTCTTGCATCCTGTTAATTTAATGAAAAATCTAGGGAGTACACAATACAAATCGGTGGTAGAAGATAGTAAATCAGGTTTTACATTCTGCTTTAAAACATTTACATTCTACATTTAAAACCTTTAAAATTCTTTAAAACAGCTTCCTGGAGAATGACAGGACTTAAGAAGAACGCAGTCTTGAACTTACACTGTTTTGTCCTCCAGTAATACATCAAATAACAGTTTCTACTACTTGAGAACTTTGACCAAGAATTGATTTGTAATTGTTATGCAGAGTGGTTTTAGCAGGCAGTGGCATGAGAATGGACAGGCCTGCACTGTAGTTTCAGGTTGACAGTGCTGCATGTCTCAAAGGAAGTAGGACAGGCAGCAGTAAGGGTTTAGGAGAAGAAATAGCAATGTCTGAGGAGTAATCAACATTACCAGCACCACTGCAAAGCTTGGGATCTGGTGATATCAAAGGATTGAAAATAAAACTTGAGGTTAACATAACCTATAAGACTTTTTGGGAATAATCTGGGATTTGCTCTAACTTTCTTACCTAGCTGGAGGCGTGTGTCTGGCCTAATTGAAAGTGAGGAGCTGTTTAAATCCTTAGATTCAGTCAGGAAGAACTAGAAAGCTGGTGAGAGAACTTCTAAACTCTCTGGCATGTTTTTATACTTTCCATGTTTTTTCAAGCTTATTTCTGGAAATTTGAATGTGATGAGAACTTAATGGATTTGTTTCTTTAGTGAGAGAGA